ATTTTATTAATTCTAAGACCAAACTTAAAATCGCGTTTGAAATGCCTCTTTGAGGTTTGGTTGTACGAGATCAGTCAAAAGATAGCTTCTGAGTGATTATATTCAAATGCATTCGTTTTTATTTTAAAATACAAATCATGAATTTAGTTTTGCTCGATGATGTGAAGGGTTAACAAACAATTTGATTTACATAAAAATTTTCGCATCGACCTGATATATGGAATCATTTGAGTTTGTTAGCAAATATTTTGGTGAGTTTAATCTTCCTCTATGATTTTCATAGCGTTTGTATGAATTTAGAAAGAAACATGTATTTCAGACTTCATAAAAGGCATAAAACTTTTTCCACTCTCTTACTACCCTAAAATAGGCTGAGGAACACATTTTCAAGAAATCGCAATTAACACGTTGACGACAACGCGCAGTTTCATTTGTCTGCCGCTTGGGACAATGCCTTCCATGAAAAAATTGAAAATTTTCAGCTAAAAGCAGATCGTCATCCACAGTGAATCTACGGTAATTTTAAGAAGCAGAAAAGAAACGCCGAAGTAGTCGCTAGAATCAGAGCGCAAGAGAACTCCTGAAACGAATATACCTCAAGACTGTATTCATGACAAAATTTAACCCATGACCCACCATGTGGGTAACATTGTCCCACGTGGCAGTCATTGCATGACCCACCTGTGGGTCACGTTGTCGTCAATGTGTTAAAAATATGCAAAAAGTTCGAAAATGGGCTTAGTCCCAGCTCACCTTGCTGCTTGGAGCAAAACGGGCTTTCAAGTCCATTTAAAATGGAGGTAAATCCCATTTTCCCCCATTTTAAATGGACTTTTCGCATGATTGTTTCGAAGCGAAAACTCAGGTAGGGTTGAATCATTTTCATCACATTGCATTGCCTCGTGGTTGCGATGTTATAGAATTTTTTGAATAACGTTAGCGAAAGCAGATTGCGACCAGTTTTTACCGCGAATGAATGTAATGTGGTTTGAAAGTCCATTTTCCTCCATTATGGACTTCCGTGGATATCATTCCTGGTGGTTGGCCTATGAAGCGCGAGGGTACTAACAAGGGAAGCATACTTGGTGACCGTGGTCGTAATGATTTGTATATAAGAAAACGCGCCTTCTAATGTTGGTTCAGATACTGTTTCCCATATCTGCGAAACCATAATCTGGACACTCCAGCGCAAGGGTACTGTTCCATGACCGTACTATTTTCGTTGGTCTTTAGAAGCCGTTACTTCACAATTTAAGAGTTTAGGAACACTTGAAGGCTGTTCAACTAGGATCTGCTTGCCCGTTCGCCTACCTTCCGAGGTGTGGGCGAAATTCTTTCTTCTCAAGATCATACGAGGCTTTCGTGCGTCTTTGCATCCTGTCGCTTACTATTCTCGCATTCTCGCGCTATGCGGGTGCTCAGAGCTGAGTTGTACTTATAAGTGTAAGTGCTTAAATCGACGACGAATTGATGAAATCCATACTCACAGCTCCAAGAAACATGTGCATCAGGCTGTGTGAGAAGAGACAGATAGACCCTAGTTGAGTCGTATTGTACGCAGACTACCTTTCAGGAGGTTCTTACTACTGCCCACGGCATGTTATGTATGTTGATGTTCGAAATTTAACAATAAAATGATATACATCGTTGATCGATGTAGAATTTTACAAATTTTCTTACTTGTACACATTTTTTGAAATGAATTTTGATGTATTAAAATAAATATTGAGCTAGTGGTCAAATGTAATGATAATGTAGCTCCACTAATGAAAAATCTTATATGGTTTTAAGTAGTTTGATAGACATTACTGAATTTTATATCTTGTCATATGATTGTTGATGCAAAAATCATGAAATCTGGTGACTTAGTCATTAGAAGTTTCTTGTGAGCAGCCGGCTGCTTTGAAGAGGTTGCAGCTCATCTAAGAACAACGTTTTTCTACAATACAGGGAAATTTGATGATAAATCATTGTGAAAAAGTGTTTGAAAGTATAAAAACAATGAGAGGATTCACAAGTAAACTACTTTTTCAAAGTGTACATAAACTCCACTGGTTCACTACGGAAGTGTGTCGAACAGGAGTATCCCTAAATGGGCTTGATGTCATACTCGCGTCATCTCAGCTTGGAAATAGATTCCGTGTTTGGATCCGATCAAATGCTATGACGCGGTCCCAATTTAGCTACTTTACGACACCTTTGGTGTTAATGAGGCAGCACGAATTGTAGTGTCTTGGCCCGGTCGATCGTGGGAATGCGCTTGATTTGTCTGCTTTATAAACATTGCATACATGGGTTTGCTCTATGTTCTTAAGTCTTGAGGAAATTCCAGTTTGAAAAAGCTTACTAATGCTACTGCATCATCTTTGCCCGTGACAATGTCAATTATGCTTTATTTGTGCGCATAATTTTTTCTCGTTGATCAGGCTAACAATAAGTCCAATTTGGTTAATCAAGTTGACTAACATAAGGCGAGATGCTGAAAATGGGTTGATCTGATTAGTTGTCACTTCAAAAACACACATCAAAGAACATAAGTTGAATTCTTACATCACTATCTCAACCGACTCATTTGGAAATGAAGCTAGAAAGTTCGTAAGAGGATTTGAATTCTAAAAATCTGCTTTTTGCAATTCTACAAATGTTTTGACTACATAGACCGATCTTTGATTCTTCTAAGGCTGTGATATCCATCCTTTCGCATCTGCGGCATCCTAAATTTACGCGCAAGTCACTTAGCCGACGCTAGATTTCAATCTCATTTTGTGAGCTGCATGCTCTTCTGCATCCAGGGAGCTGTCACCTATTTTTGGGTTGGAACATAAGTCTCCATCAAATTTTTTGGGTATCCGTACTCTTCTACAAATTCAATAAGCCTGCTTGATTACATTATACTTACACATTGTAACTTGATGAGAGGAAACACTCGTTTTTTGTTAGTGATGTTTGTTACAAAAATCGTTATTTTTAGCTTAATTGTTTTTCATCTACTCTTCTATTAGGTTGTCCCGAAAAAGTCTTGTCGGTTTTTTCAAACGGCTATAAAATCCCTTACGGTGAAAGACTCAATGTGTTTCTACAAGCGCTCCATGCTTTTCTTTCTCTTTTCTGATGGTTATAATTCCTAGTCATAACCTCTGGTAGATCTCAAATAATTACCAATATTCTTCGCTCTTCACTTTCATCTCCTCAAATTTTGGCTAATTTTCAAAGATTTCATTCTAGGCTCTTGAAGAGAAGTAATTAAGTATCGAATACAGCAAATCCTTGAGCATGCGGCAGTGCTTTTAGATTCTTCTGATCTGCTACTATGAACTTTGAAAAAAAATTTTTTTTGAAGGTGTCGCTTTCTAGTGAAGTCATGAACACGCATCTGCAACAAAATGGAAAACTTAAAGTTTCTATGAGAAAGCTCGATTGCTATTAATCATCATTTTTGCAAAACAATCAATCTTGATTTTTCTTGAAAAATCACCTTTCTGGAACTCCTATGCGCTAAGCCTACCCAAAAGCCCAGTTTCTTTCAGCTCGATTCTTATAACAGGCTTCAAAGACCTCATCTATGTAATTAAAATAAGCATGATGTAGGGTTAAAGTTTACTCTGCTTATTATTACTATAATATTATAGCTTCAACAATATGACGACAAACTTTTTTAAAAATTAGGGAAAATTTGGGGTCACTATCGAGCTGCTCAACGAGCTAAGGCGACAAAATCGCAAAGATTGCACAGATCAGGGAGAAAGCGTAACTTTCAGAAAGAGCGTAAAAATTCAAATCGAAAGATACCCAAATCGTTCATCGATCGGTGTCTTCTGAATTTTTAAGACCGATTAAAGAAACCGACGAAATTTTCGGGACAATCTCATATTTATCAATCGAAAATACAGCAGTGAAAGCTGGTGGCAAACACGCGCAGTGTTTTTTTTTGCTCACATAATGCAAAAAGATCCAGCACTTCCACGTTTTATACTGCTTCCTCTAATTTAAATGGATCATGTTGACAAGGCGTGAAAGACTAATTTCTTCTACCGAAATTTGATTTTATTTGAAACAAAATTTGGAGAATAAGTAACAAAATACATTTTGTTTATCAGATAGAAGCGGGTTTTTTAACAATAGCATACGTGCACAATTTTCTTCGCCATTTTTAGTGCAAGGCTAATAACTTGTAATTGCCGGAAATATATCAGTAGCCAATAATGTGAGGTGAGCTCATGCAATCAAACATGAATAATTCCGTGGTACCTCACTGATCAACATCTTTTTGTACAAATGGTAAAAAAAACTTTTATTCCACGATGTTTATGCCCAGCAAAATTTCAAAGAAAACTTTAGTTCAGTTTTCTGTATTTTTTCTTTACTTTTTTTTCCAAAATTCAAGTGTTGCATTCGTCTATGTTCTGTCCTGTCCACCTTGTCCTTGTCCTACTGTAGAATACTACAATATAGGGACTGCAAAAAAACTCTCGTACAATTTTAGCTAGAAAATCTCGGCTTATGTGCAACATATCTATTTTTGACACTAAGCAAAAAAATCGCCTTTTTATGTTAGCAAACGTTCTTGTATCTGATAGAAAAATATTTTCTACCTTCGTATGAAACTTCTATAGCTACAACTATGCTTTTTTGAAAACGTATGAAGTTGGAAAGCAGGCCGATGATTAACTAGCTCTTGTGTTTGTCTAAAAGACTAGCCGATGGAAACCTTTTCCTTGTAACTACTTCTCGTTTTCTGCAGCTTGTTAATCTCTTATAAATCATAGTTCATCTATATGCGTCTTGTACTCCTCAAGAAGGTAAATAATCAGAATTATTGAATTGAACATGGCAGGTTGCTTTTTGGTGGGAAAATATGCATGGTCTCTTGATGACTGAAAGCCCAAAAAGTTTTTGTATACATTTTTCGTCTGCTCATATTCGGAGACATTTTAGTGATACTTAACATATTTTTAGCGTATTCAACTTCTTTGATTTGCAGATACTAAGCCTCCCATGCAATGGATTATTCGATAATTATAGTGTTTCAGCTGATTTATATCATTCCTAGCCTGTTGCTATATTTGATACAATTCTGTTTTATATTCTTCTCGAAGGATGCAGAATTCTCCACGGCATTCCATTACATATTCCTAGCACGAGGTAAATGAAACGAAGTAGATGTTCAAGCTGTATGGGAAATAGGATTGTCAGATGCCTATAAGAAACGAAGAACAGCCGACCTGAAGAATCAGCACTTTTTAATTTACGGATCAGTCTTGACTGCACCCTCAAATAACATAGTGGCTTTTGACCTGAAAATCTACAATTTGTACCTTGGGGCCTTGAGATTTAAGGAAGAGGAGGGGGAAGAGATGTTAGATTTCTCTCTTTCCCCGAAAGTGGGCCTTAAAGTAAAGATTTCTTTATTTGTGTTGTATACTTATGCAGTGGCTCAACTTCTCATCAAGACAATTGTTCTTGAACTTTGAAGTTGATCAAGTTAGCCTTGTAAATTTTTTAGATAAATAAGGAGCATCTTAAAATTTTTGGAAGGTTTGTCAACATCTTGTCCCTTTATTCAGAAAAATTTTTTTTGTGGCTCACATATTAACTGATCAATTGTCCACATAATAAGCGTAATATCAGACCTGAGTCCAAACTTTACGGAAGTTCTTATCCATGGGAAAATGTGATTAACTGAAAACAATGCAAGTGAGACTAGCGTATACCATGATTATTGAACTCCAGATCGAAATGCCTGAAAATCTCCATCAGGGGAAAAAGTTGATTTATTTTGATAAAGAAAACCTTTTCGTAAACTCGTTATCGAAACTGCCTTGAACAATCTGCGTTTTGTATGTGGAAAAAGATATTTTCCAAAAAAGTAAACTTAAAACCATCTTTACCATCCCTCATTTCGTTTTATGTGGGAGTCATCTTTTAACAACATTTTCTTGTACTTCGTGTTCATTTGGCCGTAATTGCCTTGAATGTAAAAGAAAGGCGTTACTAATCTTTGACGCAATGAGCGAGTGAACCAAAGAAGTATAGATCTCGATCGTAGAAGTAAAGTACTTTCTTGACTCCTATCTGAAGTTGCAAACGTGTTGCCTGGACAAAGTACAATCCATTTTCGTAATTTTGACGTAAAAAGCCAATTAATTATACATTGAAATGCGTTGAAGCAGGAAAAAAACGTAATCTGGCCGGAGAGTTGTTATTCAAGATTACTATTTTAAGAATGGAATGAATGCACGTAGTTCCTGGTGCGATTCAGACTTGTTCCTTCAACATGCTGCAGAATAGCTATTGATGAGGAAAGAGGAAAAATGAGGATATGAATGCAGAGTACATTACTATAAAAAAAGGTATTTTTAGCTCCCGCAGATATGTTGCAAGTTCTTACTAGCCTGTTCACCTTCCGACTTCCTTTGGCTGGTTGGGTATGGGTGGAGGATAAACCATACATTGCTAAGGTGAACTTGCTAAATACACGGAATAAAGGAGATTTGCACTATGAATTTCTCTATGAAGTTCTGCAAATTCTGTCTTTCAGGCTGGGTTTGTCATATCCCAATATGTCTGTTTGATAGAATTATTCGCACAGCTATCGCTTTCCGTAAATCGCTTCACGGCCATCATCTATCCACTCCGACACAATCAGGTAAATTTGGCAAACGACCAGGATAAACACTCTCTGATGAAGAAATTCATGCAGATGGCTCCGATTTTCGGGTTCGAAAAACAAAGGGAAAAGTACGGGGACCATGGTTGTGATGCAAAACACAGCACGTATATTATGAATCAAAGCATATGTGCAGACATCATAAAAACGCAAGTGTTTGACGACTACTATTTCTTTTATCCCAACAGCTTTTGGCAAAGTTTGAACACCGTATTGCACGGCTGGTTTGATTGAGCTTAGATTCATGATCCGCAGGAATAATCGAGTGCTCTTTGTTACTATGAGTTAAGGTTGGAACTTTTCTTTTGCCTCTGAGAAAAGGACTTGCGCAAGTAAGTCCCTCAAAAAGCTGAAAACTCCTACTACCAAGTCAATTCAAGTCACCTTTAAATACGAAAATCTGCACTAGATGGTATTAAAATAAAACTGCGCCAAATATACCATGACAGCTGAATTCTCAATGTTCCTCAAAAGTTCGACTATACTATTCATACAGCGAAAAGGCTATTTTTGCAGGTATTAAACCCCATAATAGAAGTTTTCATCTATTCTAAAATTTTTGCAAATGACTGCTCCCTTCCAAGACCCAAAACTTGAGCTCGTATTAGATTTCGGTTCCTCTTTAGTAAATAGTTTCCAGTTGAGGGCTGGTCTCATATCAGCTGTGGACTTTAGGATGATATTGCAAACAATGAAAATCCATGGGAGAAAATTGAATATGTTTCTCTTAATTTTTATAAATTCGATCACTATTTTATCCTTATTTTGCAGCTCTGGAATAAGAGGACAACCTGCAAGTTATTTGCCATATGTGCTTTAATCGCGCTCATTCCCACTGCCATCAGATTACCACAAGCAGCTGGCTATGCCAATGTAAACGGAAAAATAGTACCACATCTAATCCACGAAGAGGATCAAAAGGTAATTTCTTTACTGCTTGAAATGTTATGTTAATTGTTAATGCAACCAATTTAGCTGAATTCTTACATAACCAGCAGCATCTACGTAATTTTTGGACTCTCCTGCTTCCTGTTGAATGTTGGTTCCCTTGTAAAGCATGCCCAACAGCGGAACTTGAAGGTAGACATCTTTACTTCCGCCTTAGGAATATGCCCTTAACAGGTGCAAACACATTCTGAATATAATACTTATGTACGTAATGCATTTTTTCTTGATTAGAACTTGCGTAGCTATTTTTGTCTAGAAAAAGCTAAATTGCACGTTGAACAAAATCGTATGCAATACCCTTTCCTTAATCACACTGTTTTAGCAAAAGAACGATCTTGAGAAGACTCAAGCGTTCAGATGTTGTCATATATACTCAAACATCAAGGACAATGTAATTCTCAAAGTGTTTATGCTACTCGTAGATAATCAATGGTGCTTACAGATAGCGTACATAACTTGTAAAACTTATAATTACAAAGCAAATAGGTTGAAACATAAGTCTTACGCTAAAATAGGAAACCGTAATAATTGATACTTCCTCTATATCCCAGATGGTTTTGAGATACCATTCGATAGAGCAAGCTAGGTCTACAAGTTATTGTCGAAGGCTTGCATCAATTATAATCTACACGAAGTTTGAGGCCAAAAACTAGAAAAATCATGCGTCCGAAAAGCCTAAAATTTTTTTTTAAAAATGCGTTATCAAAACATGTACTATCTTTTTTATTCGTGTATTTATGTTTCAGCGACAACCGAGATTTTATTAATCCTTTGTTGGCTAACGTTTCGGCGATTTTCATTCGTCACCGCCGAACTTGGAATATCTTTTTTTAAATTAATTATCTAGACAAAGGCAGCAGAGTTTTGCAGATTGCATATCGAAAATTTTTCATTAAAAATAAACGTCCGGGTTTTCTTCCAGATAAGAAGTTTGCAGATATGAGAAAAATTTTTCTGCATAGATCTGTATATTTCCAGTTATTTGACCAACAGCAAGTGGCTCGACGAGTACAATTAAATCTCTTGACTTATTCTTCGTCTTTTACACTTGCTATAATTTCAATGACTATTTGTCAGGTAAGAAATTCCACATATGTCGTGCCGCTGCTCATGCTTCTGCATTTCTACTTTGTTTATTTAGTGTATGCTTGCCCTGGACATCTTTCCTCTGACCACTGATGGTCGTGCTCTGCTGATAATCATGCTCACATTGTCAGCTGACTGTTTCGCCTTATCAAATCCATGGCTGCTCCTAGCATTATCGTCGTCGTTCAGATCGAAATTTATGAAGCTAGGTGCGAACAAAAATTCCGTATCAAATATATACTCAGTCTAATGCTCATCTCGTGTTGCTTAGAATAAAGAGATTGAGATATTTTCTTCAAATTTTATAGTCATTCATTCATGGAAATCTACGATGTCTAGTTAGGGACCACGATTATACAGGGTGTCCCAAATAGGCCAAAAACTCTTACAATACTTTGGGAAGCTGCTGATTTCAAATATGAAGTTTCCACTTTACTATAATGCATTTTTCCTGAGTTAATCCATGCAATCCTTAACAACTGAATTCCCAGCACTTGTCAACAATGTGATGACACCGTCAAAAAGCTGGAAACACTCGTAAAAAGTTGTTTATTGCAATCAGCATGCTCGAAAACCGTCAGACGGCTTACTTTTCAATGGTTCCATATGCTGGAAGTCCTTACCGTAATCCTACAGTAACGAGGAGCGATCGGTGACCCGCTTCATACTGCAGATCTAACAAGGGAAGGATACATGGTCGAAGTGGCATTTCATCTCGAAATGTATACTGTCTTATAGAGCTTAGGATGCTGATTCCGAATCTGTCTTCGTTATCTGCCGAGCGCCTCTGGACGCCGAGTTATGAGCGTTCTTTGGGCTGAAAAATTGAATGCGTAATTAGAGCAAAATTCGTCAGAATTGCTCAAATGGTCCAATGTTGGTTATCAGAGCACTCCATTTCAAAGGATACCTTCTGCCCAAAACACTCATACTACATGTTGCTCTGTTTAGGCGCTGAAAAGTCCGTAATAGTCAATTTTACTTGAATTCTGCGTTCATTTTTCGCTCCAAAAAACATTTATAACTCGGCGTCCAAAGGCGCTCGGCAGATAACGAAGAAAGATTCGGAATCAGCGTTTAACGCTCTTCAAAATAGTATATGACCCATTTGAAAAGGCCACTTCGACTGGTTCGACCTCCCTTGTAAGTTGAAGCCATCACTACAGAATGGTACCCAAAGGTCGGCAGACATCAAGGTAAGAGAGTTATTAACGATCGAACAGTGTGCAAATTTTTTGCGACACCCTATACAGAGCATCTCCAGATGTGCACATAATCGTCGATGACTCCTTTGTACCGAAATCTTCTGCAAACTCTTAGATACCTTGTTCTGAAGCAGGCACCAAATTAGGTGTAACAGTATCTAATGTAGATTGCTTTCTATCAATAGGACTACGGCAGAAAGTGTTGATAGAGGTGCCATGACAGTCAAATCTGCTATAAAAAGAATCCAAGAGGGCTGCAAAATCTCTCCCTCATTTTAAACATAAACATCCATTCTCAGCGGTTACATACAATGAACACAACAAATACCGCAATCATTCCACTTACGGCTTCAATCAGACAGTAGATCGTCTTCGCTGACATTCATTTTACTTTGTGCCAGTCAGCGCACTTATCGGTGACGTTGCAAATCTTGCTCCGTGACTTTTCGTCTAAGGAAGAAGCGGTGGACCAGCCACGCTTCTTCCACCAATTCCTAATCCTAATCTTGGCTGATGGTGTAGGTCAGAGCTAGAAGTTAAAACCTATGTAAATCGCTGAAACAATCTTGATGCTTTTTGAGACCGAGTGTATTCTATAAAAGACCCCTAACCAAAGTGGCTCTAGCGCAGAATTGAAGGCTCAAATTTATGAGCTCACACATCAGGAGTGTGACGTTTGCATGTAGCATAGCTGTAGCTATGAATAATTGATACTGTGTAGGCTACGTGGCCAAGGTAATTATAGACTACTAACTATGCAAAATCGGGTGTTACGAACCAACCAAGAAGAAGTGATGATCAGAACATCAAGAGCAGAATATTCACCTGCAACAGGATTTTATACAACTAAACCTGAAAAATGCAAAATTACTTACACTCGTTTTCATTTTTTTCCCATATGAAGTAAATGGACGGTTTGGTTTGCCTCTCCCCCACTCCCCAGCCTATGTTACGGAAGTTGCAAAGCAGACATATTTAAAATCTTTGTATTTACGTCATTCAATGAAGTTGTCTGGTGAGAGTTAAGTTGATCTGCATTTGGTTTCCTCAATAAAGTTGCGCTGTCAACAACTCTGCTACGCCATTTACATTTTTAGAAAATGATTTCATCCAGACTTTTTTCCTCCTTAGCACGGGGTTGTATTCCGACATCGCCATTGTAAGTTTGACTCGCTCTACTTTATTACGCGGATAGAAGACTATATGTCGGCGAAAGGCAGCGACCCCGCGGGTTTTTTCAATAAGTAGCGCCCTCGCACATCGCGGAGGTGTTCAGGTTTTTGCACGAAGTCCGCGCAGAACCCTCCCACATTCGGCGTTATATAGTTCTCACCTTATTACGCACGTAGCGCAATGTAGAGAAGAGAAAACTAGGGTTATTTTGATTATGATGGCGGGGTGAAAGGTCGAAAAACACATGCAGATAATCGGTTAGATCGCTTGAAGCAACATAGCATTACATGAGCTTTGTGTGAAACGTGAAATATCCGCAGAGCTGCACACAAAAATGTCGCGTGATTGTAAATAAATAAACACAGCATCCAAATATTTTTTTAGCTTTGGAGCTTCAAGTTCAGCGTTGAACAATCCACAATTCCCTGCAATCCTTCGCTTTCTCTCTTTTTCGGCCTAGTTCAAGCTGCGCTGTGCAAAATGTCGCACCGCAGTGTTGGCAAGATCCTGACAGCTGTTTCGAAGCTACAGTATCTCTTACATATTCGGTGCCGCTTTATAGGCCGCACCCGCCAATGGTGCGGAGCGCCTTCTAAAAGATTGTTTTTAGCGAACAAACTGAAGATCCTCTCTTTCCCGTGCTGTGCTTTCTTTCAACTCCGATGAAGCTACCTATCTCGAGGGGCTCTTGCTCTCGTACTTCTTTGAGAAAAGACGAGAAAAAAGATTTATTTTTGAAAAACACAGTTGACAAAACAAAAAGAACAAAAGTAGAATGTTATCACTAGAAGGTGAGAAATAGTAGTTGGGTGTTTGTGCGGCTTCGCGCATCGCAAACTTTATCGCACATTAGCGCGCGCGTTGAAAATAATTGCGAATACCTGAATTTGGGTAACGCAACATAACTTTCACTTTAAAACTCATTTTCAAGTCTCTAATACCGTAATATAGATAGCTCGTTTGACTATATAGAACAACACTGTAGATAAGAGCTCAAACTGGGCCCGGTTCAGTGGGGCCTGACAGTATTAAAGAGGAAGTATCATTTTACTTGCAACAAATTGCGATTAGCTGATTAAGGTTGGTAGTTAGCGAAAAAACGAAAGCGGGAAGGAACGGCGGTTTTTGTGATATCCAGGGCCGTAGCAAAACGGCGGTGACAAAATCCAGAAAAAGATCGAAGAATTGTGTGGAGCAGAGGCAACATATTGACTGCGGCGCGTAGCAATACCTCGGTCAGATCCGATGATCTCCCCTGAAATCTTAATTTCAGTTTATCATTAAAATTACGGCCGCACTATTTTAGAAAGGCCCCCTGGGCTAGCAGTTGGGAGGTCCGGTCAACGACCAGGTTGGGTGGGAAGGTCAATTGCAGTAAATAGATGTAAAGGTGAAGATTTGAGAAAAGTCCTGCCTGTGAGTTGTTCGTGAGTAATGATACAAAAGTTGACTTGATGCCACGGCCGAAAGCGCGCAAGACTTTAGAATTTCGGGGTCTACGGAGAGGGAGGATTGCTGGACAGCTATCGCGGGCATTGGAAAAGAAATTAACTTTTCCTACCAACTAAGAGGGAATATCTTGATTTCTTCAATATTGTGCACAACTGAGGGTCATCCTTCCCACACATTTTCCAACAGCTACAAATTCTATGAAATCCATTTTAAACTGTAATTTTGTTCGTTTATTTTATCTGTCCGTTTGATAGGCAAACCCTTATAGCGGTCATCATCAATTTTTCGTTAGTGGCCGCTATCAAAGATCGCTTGGCGAAGTAGCAAAAATCGCATCGCTGGGCGCCCTCAAACCATGACCCGCCACTTGAAATGCATGTTCTATTCACTTGACTAAACCCGTGCAAGCAGTGTGAAAATGTTTTCCCCTCGAAAACGAGGACGTCTGCAAAGCCATTCGCTCCAGATCAATGGCCCCCTTGGCGCTGCGCTGAAGCGCTGTAAAGTCAACATAGGCTTACAGTAAGTTTCGACCTGCTTTAGAAGTGATATGGATTGGCGAGCGTCCGTTTCGCAACGCCGTTTGCAGCTAATTATATCCTACTAGCGACCCGTAGGGTAAGTGGGTCGGAGAAAATACAATATAAGGGCTTAGTTGTGACTATAAATTTTTCTAGATAATTTTCCTATTCCTTTCCTGAGGAAATTTTTGCGAAGAGCATTCTACAAAAGAAGAACTGCTCGAAAAAGCGATAATCTCCACAAATCATTCAACATTTCTCGAAATTCCTGCTACGACCATGCATGGAAAATACTATTTTTCTCTCGTTTACCACGCGCTTTCTGCAAATTTCCCCTCCTCACAGAGACATTCAGATAAACCCCCCCCCCCCACCTTTCTACCCTTTCACAGAGAATTTCTTCTCCCAAAACTTCTCAACAAGTTCCATAAAAGATCGTTAAGTAAGTAGCTGAACACCTGTCGTTTTGGAAGTAGAAATACACCCATAACAATTATGTATACTATAAAAAACACTTCTCTCAGAATCAATTCCGACAGCAACGAAATCAATCGTCTGAGAACTTTGTCAGAGAATTCTTCAATTTTTTCGCCAAAAGAATATGAAGCTTTACTATAAAAAAAGATCCCTCCCCGAAAAGCACGACTACTGAGCCACCTAAAGACCGTCATACATGAGAACTGCACAAACGTACAAAAAATTGTTTCCCTGTCCGTTCAAATTGCTGCCGCTTACGCTATTATTATTTATCTGAAAGACAATTCAAGCCCTAAGTGCCGCCTGGATACCGTTTAAAAATTATAAGAACTGCCCCAAACGTATAAAAATCTGTTTCCCTGCCCGATATTGCCCTACGTGCCGCTTACAGACCGATAGTAACTATTCAAAAAGAAAGTTTA